CCTCGAGTCCTCCAAAGGTCCAAACTGGGGAGCTCCTTGCTTGGGTGGTCCCCCAATCACTGGATTGCCTCCTCGGACTCCAGGGCGATCTGATGGTCCACCGGCTGCACCTCGAGCGGGACTTCCTGCCCTTCCCCTCAGCCAGGGATTACCACCAAATACCGAAGAACCTCCATCATCACCGAGAGGAGCCTCCGGTGGCACTTTAACACCTCGATCATCACCGCGGGGATTGCCTCCTGGTTCTAAGCCGGGGGGCTCCGTCAAGGCCTGCAAAGAAGGAGGTCCACCACCACTTCCTCCCGCTGTCATCACTTCATTCAACAGCTGCGCAGAAGACTGTAGTGCGGTTTTCAGCTCTTCGTTCTGCGCTCTCAAATCCTTCACCTCCGTGTCTCTCTCCACCATAGCCTGTTGGACTTGCCTTCGAACTTCTTCCAAAATCAACTCCTGAGGAAGGCTTGCTGACGAACTGTCATCCCTTTGTCCTTGTCCCACAGGCCTAGTGATCAAACTTGGCTGCGCCGTCCAGCTTGACATAGCTTGCCTTACGTCAGGTGACATCAAAGGTGTTTGGGCTGGGGTAGTAGTAGGCGGAGACTGCCATGGCGTAGCCGTCGTTTCCAAAGCTCCATGCTCCACCACATTCGCTGATGAAGACTGGCCCATCATGGGGGCCACAATCCTCCGATGAAGGACCTCACTGATCCTCGTGACCGACCAAGAGCCATAACCCTCCGAGTCGCTTGACTGCACCATTCCAGGGCTGAGCGGTGGGGGAGTTGTAGTCGGTGCAAAAGGGTTTGTAGCATCATCAGAGGAAGTGGGTTCGCCTCGAGGCGTGCCATGGATTGCTCTCTGTGCCCTAGCCTGTACTGCCTGCACCACCGAGCTGCGCTGCTGAGACAACTGTTGCACAGCCGCTTGCAACGGTCCTGGTAGAACAGGTGGTCGCTGGTGCCCCTGACTTGAAGACATTGAAGTCGACTGCCGCTGTTGAGCTTGCTCCAAGGACATAGTAGTCGACCGCTGTTGTTGAACCTGCTCCGAAGACATAGTAGCCGACTGCTGCTGTTGAGCTTGCTCCGAAGACGTAGTAGTCGACTGCTGCTGCTGAACTTGTGGCTGCCGTTGTTGCGGAGGTTGCGCTGCTTGCTGAACGTGGGGCTGCTCTGTGTTATTGGATCTCTGAAAAGTTGCAGCTGCTGCCGTCGTAACGTTCGTCGCGCCCGATCCGGTTCGTACGGCGTGTCCGGTGCCCACATCCACTGTTCTGTTCCCTTGACTGCCACCATCCAGTCCAGATGTTCCAGCACCACCCTGAGGCTGGGGTGGGTTCTGTAAGCCCGTTGCCGGACTCACAGAACTCACTCCATTGGGCAACATACTGTCACCTCTGCTCCGATGCGCTTGCCCATCATCTTGGAAACCTGGATTGACAGCACCATAACTTGGACCTGCAACTTCTCCCTCCAGCACTGCATGTCCCTCACGTCGGTGAGCTTGGGCGCTCATAACCTGTTGGGAATCGGGTCCCGTAAAAGCCTGCCCTTGCGCATGCGAAGCCATGCGAATCTTCTCAGTATCGTTCAAGGGTGAAGGGCCATGGCAAAGCGAATTGAGCTGTTTTGCGCACACACACAGCCGACATCTGAACTTCAAGGCTTCCTGTACAAACTTAAGACGTGAGCGATACGAAGCCTTTATGAAAAGTCTCAAGTTGAGCTTCCGAGCCTAGATTCAAGCTCGCACATCGAGAAGGTTCCACGCTTTCAACA